TAGGCCCAGATTAATTCAAAAAAGGGATCTGAAACATTTTTGTGAACAGTCATTCCTCTGGGATCGTCTCACTTTGACTGGCATCATATTCTGTTAACTGATGACGTGAACTCCGCTTGGAACTATTTTCATAATAGTTTCATTTATTTTGTGAACAAACATGCTCCTTTTCGTCAGTTCAGAATAAAGGGACGAGACAGCCCCTGGTTTACTCCAGAGCTAGCTGACCTCCTGCACAGGAGAGATCATCTTTGGGCCGCAACGAGAAAATCGGACTCAGACATGTTATGATTAGGACAACTCAGAAGGAACGAGAACCAGAATGACACAAGTCTCAAATAAGCAAAACAGTGTTTATTATTTACAGTGAATGAGTTGACAGGTATATACAAAATGGTGGCCTGGGACTCCTGAAAAAGGGAGAGACAAGGTCAGGTCTAGGAGGCAAGAGGAGGCAGCTCAAACGGTGGAATAAATAGTTTTGTCTCTCCTTACAGGTATTTCCTTGTGGGTGAGGCTGTGGGGGTAAATCCCAAGGCAGGCAAGTGGTTGGAGGGCAAAGGCAACAAGGATGAGACTCCGGCACAGGAAGAACCAAGGGCAGGATCTGAGATGACCAGAAAACTGTAGACACAAAAAACAAGGTAAGATATCCTCTTCATATACTCAATATACTGGCTAGAAGCACAAATACCCAGAAGGAATTAATGCTCCAGCGACGAGAAGAGCTTGACTGCAGCCTTATGTAGCCGAGGAGCTCGTCAGGTAGGTGGTCGTCAGCTGTAGATGATTGGCGGCCATCTTGGAGCTGCAGAAAGTTCAACTCTTACAAGACACTGATTGGTTGAGTTATCGACAGATGAGGAATAAATGTACAACTGCTGTCAAAGCAGCAAAACGCAACTACTTCTTATCTCAGACCTCCAAAAATCTAAATGACCCCAACAGATTCTGGAAAACTATCAAATCTCTCTCAGGCACACCCCAATCATCTGACCTCCCATCACAACTTCTCATTAACTCTGTTCCTGTGTCAAATAAGCACGAGATCCTGAACTGTTTCAACAAACATTTTGTTGCTTCTAGTTCTTTATTTGACACAGTTACTAATGGAAAATCAGCCATTTCACTTAATAATCAAACTTCTACAAATCAAATCCCTCCTACAAGTCAATCCTCAGTTAATCACACCTTCTCTTTTTCTCCATTCTCAGTCAGTGAGGTTAATAAACTGTTAAAAGATCTTGATCATAAAAAATCTGCAGGTCCAGATGAACTTCCACCTTATTTCTTAAGGCTGGCTGCTCATATCATCACAGTCCCTGTGACCCACATCTTCAATCTCTCCATAAGACAAAAGTCCATCCCAGACACTTGGAAAACAGCCTTTGTTCTTCCTTTGCTGAAGGGAGGTGACCCCACCTCACTGAACAACTATCGGCCAATCTCTAAACTCTGCATTTTAGCCAAGGTTCTAGAAAAACTGATAAACTCTCAAATCAAAAATTACCTGGACTCATTTAACATCTTACCTCCACATCAATCTAGTTTCAGGAAACAACACAGCACAACCACTGCTTAACTGAAGGTTCTTAATGACATTGTTGAAGCACTGGATGCTAAGGATTATTGTGCTGCACTTTTCTTAGACCTGTCTAAAGCTTTTGACACTGTGGATCATAACATCTTGTGTCATAAGCTCAGAAATTGGTTTCTCAGAACACACCATTGGTTGGTTCTCTAACTATCTTTCAGACCGGAGGCAATGTGTTCAACATAATGGTACTTCCTCCAGTTATTTAACAGTCAACAATGGTGTACCACAAGGCTCAGTCTTAGGACCCACCCTCTTTACAATCTACATACATAATGTAGGTAAAAACATCCCTAATGCATCCATACATTTATATGCTGATGACACAGTTGTTTATTGTCAAGCTAAAACTGTTGCTAAGTCTTTCCAGCTTTTGAAATCTGCATTCAACAACATCCAGACAGATTTGTTCCGCCTCAAACTTGTCCTAAATGCCGACAAAACCAAAGGGATGCTTTTTTCAAATAGGAAGTTGGTCCCAGCAGTTCTTCCTCCGATTTTATCCTCATATGCTGTCCCCACTGAGTTTGTTGATTCCTATAAATATTTGGGTATCTTGGTCGACTCACATCTTTCTTTTAAGCTCCATGTGGAAAACTTGGTCAAGAAACTGAAAGTTAAACTGGGTTTCTTTTTCAGAAACAGATCCTGTCTAACTCTGAATGCTAGAAAACGCCTTGTATCTGTGACTTTCCTTCCCTCTATTGATTACGGTGACATACGGTGACATGAGTTCTAGAATTGCGCCGCTCAAGGTGGCTGCATGTTGGAGCAGCTCTGTTACTTTCATTCTGAGATTTTGCTTTTGGAAACTTTAATTCCTCTTTTTCTGGATGTAAATCACATTTTTTTGGATGATTGTTTCCTCTGGTATCAGATGCTGTGCAGCTGGAAGGATTTTTACTGAAACTTTTTTAGTTTTGTACATTTGTTATGATGCGTAACCATGGCAACAAGGCAGTTTTCTACAACCAACAGCTGATTAACATCTCAAAAGCTCAAATAATATCTCAACTACAGCCCCAAATCTCAAGTGAGTTGAAAAGGATGTTTTGTGGATGCATTCTCATCTACCTGCCAGCTGTGCTCAAGTGCCTGACCACTGAGATCCTGGAACTAGCAGGAAACATGGCTCATGACAGTGGAAGGACAGGATCGTCCCTCGGCACCTACAGTTGTCTGTCCGCAGCTACGAGGAGCTCGGCAGACTGCTGGGAGGAGTGGTCATCGCTCTGGGAGGAGTTCTGCTCTGCATTTGGGTGGTCCTACAGCCCGAGGGGAACCGAGAGGCAGCCGAGTCTGGGTGGACGGATCGGACGGCATCTGCAGCCAGTTTCTTAGGATCCATTGTGGGATGGACCTTTACAAGAGATCCTTCCTGTCTACAGCATCAGCATCTATAACATCTCTTAATGAAATGAAGATAACGAGTTACAACAACAAATAATTTCCCTCTGGGATTAATAAAGTATTTTTGAATTGAATTGAATTGAATTGAATTATTTACATGAACGCTGCTGCAAGAACCCTGCAGATGCTGGATGCTGTCTATCGTGGTGCACTAAGATTCATAACTGGCTGTGATTATCGTACCCACCATTGCACCCTTTATTCACTGGTTAACTGGACATCATTAAATTCACGCAGACTCTCTCACTGGTACATTTTCATCTTTAAATCACTTCTTGGTCTGCTGCCTTCGTACATCTCCTCCTACATGTCTCTGCGTGAGTGCAGCTACAGCGTGCGCTCTCAGGACATTATTACCTGCAGTGTTCCCTCAGTGAGAACTGAACTAGGCAAAAGGGTCTTCTCCTACTCCGCTCCTGTTTCCTGGAATATCTTACAAAAAGACTTCAAGCTCTCGACCATGACCTCTCTAAGTGGCTTTAAGAATCTGTTGGACTCCTGGCAGGGACCAATGCAGACATGTTCCTGTTTTTAGTTTTCTACATTCGCCTTAGAATCTAGCTATTTTTTTGTTTTTTTTGTTACCTTTTTCTTTTAGCCATCCTATTTGTAAAGAAAAACTAAAACAAAAACAAAAAAAACTGCACTATGACTTTTTATAATTGTTTATTATTGTTGTTGCTGTTGTCCATTGTTGTCATCTTTCTTTGTTGAAATCAGGTCTCTCTTGTAAATGAGTCCTCGAGGCTCAATGGGATTACCTGTCTAAATAAAGGTTGAATGAATAAAGTCACTGAATGACTGCTAAACAATAGCAAAAGGTTAGTTAAAAATAGAATGGCAGATAATAATTAAAAGTAGCATAAGACCAAATAAGAAGCAGATTTTAAACAAATCAATGTTTTTGTGGGAATTGAAGTGAAATTGAACATTTTTTATTAGAAAATATTAGTAAATTAAGTGTAATATTTTGAAAAGTATAAACATTACACAATCCAAAAGTCATAGCAGCCTTCTCTTGAATGAGCTGAAAGATTTGATGCAAAAATGGCCAATATAGCTCAAGTATGCAGGAGTGGTTAGATTAAAATAATTTATGAAATAATAAAAAATACTAAAAACAGTACAGTGAACATTTAATTAACATTCACAGAATTTTAGTCTTTCCATGATTTAAATCTGTAAAACTGGCCTAAAATGGACTATCAAAATAATCTTCTGCTTCCATTTCTATAGGAAACATAATGATACTTGTATTTACATTATTATATTTAAAATATTGGACTTTTGATTGTTATTTTACTTTTTACTTCTCTAGACTCCTCTAGAACCTTTGGAGATGATTGTTCAAAGAAGGATTCTTCATCAAATGAAGAACATTATAGACAACCCTCAGCATCCTCTTCATCAGACTGTCATACAACAACAGAGTGTCTTCAGTCAGAGGCTTCTTCAGATTTGTTGTAAGACAGACAAGAGATCTTTCCTGCCCACAGCCATCAGCATCTATGACAACTCTTTAATGAAACCAGGATGATGAGTTACCACAACATATAATTTCCCTCTGTGATTAATAAAGTATTTTTGAATTGAATTGAATTATTGTGTAACACATTTTAGATGAACAAACCTGATAAATACTGCATTGACTTTTCTTTTCTGAGAGTTTAGAGACAACTTATTATTTGACACAACTTTTTTCGGTGTTTAGTGAGTACATTTATTTATTTAACCTTTATTTATACAGTCTCATAGAGACAGCAGGGACTACCTGTATAAATAATTAATAAATTAATTCAATACCCTCCTCAAATCATGTTGATGTTGTTTTTCAGTAATCATGGACGTTTTTTTAATTTGCTAACCAACATACACTAAAATATTTAATAATGTTTCTTCGATGGTCTAATAATTAATAAAGATGTCTCGGTGACTATGACTTTTTTGCTTTGGCCGCAAACTTGCCGCGCATGCGCAGTCTTTACCGAGCAGTGACAAGCACGATGGCTGCGGACAGTGTTGTGCTACAGTCTCTGGTGGAGGATTTTGTCTCTGGACTTCAGGACAGCAAGGCTAAGGAGGCCTCTAAAGGTATAGGAAGTCTTTATCACGTTTTCCTTCTCACATTAGTGAAAGGTTTGTGTACAATAATCCCCGCTGAGGCTGATAAAAGGCGCTGTAAGGATGCGCAGCACAACGTGAGTGTTAACCAAGCTAACTTTAGCACCACAACATCCTGTTGGTGATCCGAGCTCACCAAACCAGCTCGTTTTGACTCCTCTTTATGTCAGCCTGACAGGATGGTTTTAAATGGTATGCTGGTTTGTATCTGCTGCTGTTTGCATGGAAATTGTCAATGAAATTCTGTTTGAACCTGCCTCGCTCTGCTTAGTGATCAGTTTCATTAGATTCTCGTGCTTCAGCCAACTAAACAAATCTAAACTAAACTGCCTTTTTTTGTTTTAAGGTGTTAAAGATGGACAGTTCACAATGCTGCAGCTGGTGGAAGCACTCGGGTAAGTTGGCAACGTCACAAACGACAGTGAACATTTCTGCTGAAGGCTGTTGATACAGCTGCAGCTTGAAATCCAACCATGGATTATTATTTGATATATTTTTATTTAAACCATTACACAGCGCAGAAACAGCCTTGATAAGGGTCTGTAATAACGTTCTTGTAGCGAATGACTCTGGTCAGTCGGTGATCCTGGTCCTCCTTTACCTTACTACTGCATTTGACACTGTTGACCACAGTATCCTTTTATCATGTTTAGAACACAGGGGTTGGGATCATGGTGAATGTTAGAATGGTTCTGCTCATATCTGAGTGACAGGAGTTTTGTGTCAATTTTGGTAATCTGCTTCTGTCCCTCTTTTCCTGTGGGGTCCCACAAGGCTCCATTCTTGGAACCCTTCTGTTTTCATTGTATCTGCTGCCCTTGGGGTCTATCCTGAGGAAACATGGTCTTTCATTTCATTGCTATGCTGGTGATTCTCAGATTTATCTGCCCTTAAAACCAAAGAGTTCATGCACAATTCACCCTCTGTTAAAATGTCTTGATGACAGGGGCGGCTGTGGCTGAGTGGTTAGAGCATTCGTCCTCCAATGCGAGAGTTGGGGGTTCGAATCCACCAGCAGTCACATGCCGAAGTGTCCCTGGGCAAAACATTGAACCCCTCGTTGCCTCTGATGTGTGTCCCATCGGTGTATGAATCTGATCTAAAGCACCGATTAGTCTCATTAGAATGATTTATTCAATTAGCTTTGTAGAGATCTAGTAGAGTGCTGTATGAATGGGTAAATGAGGACACAGGTTGTAGTGTAAAGCACTTTGCGTCTCTTGAAATAAGATAGAAATGCGCTATATAAGTACAGTCCATTTACATTAAGGCACGAATGGCTTCAAACATTTTAAGTTTCAACGATCAGAAAACTGAGGTAATTGTGCTGAACCCTAACTCTGCTGTTGTCACTGATCCTGTAAACCTGGACTCCCTTCAGCCACATCTAATGCCCCTTTTCCACTGTCACAGTGCGGATCAGATCAGTTCGGGTCGGTTCAGATCGGCTCGGATCTGTTGCGTTTCCATGTACATTTCTGGACCAGCTCTGTAGGCGGGGACTAGAATCCAACTCGTCTTACCACCTGGTGGCGGTGGTGCTCCCTTAAGCTACTTACTAGCCACCACTAAACGTATTAGAAGAAGAACACCCTGAAGGTTTTGTCTCAAGGTGTTGTCGAAGAGATCCATCCATCCATCCATTTTCTTTACCCGCTTATTCCATTTTGGGTCACGGGGGTCGCTGGTGCCCATGTCCAGCAATCACTGTGCGAGGGGCGGGGTACACCCTGGACAGGTCGCAAGTCCATCACAGGGCCACATAAAGACAAACGAGACAAACAACCATTCACTCTCCCACTCACACCTAGGGACAATTTAGAGTTACCAATTAGCCTAACATGCATGTTTTTGGTCTGTGGGAGGAAACCGTAGTACCCGGAGAAAACCCACGCATGCACGGAGAGAACATGCAAACTCCACCCAGAAGGCCCCTGGACTGGGGTTTGAACCAAGGACCTGCTCGCTGAGAGGCAGCAGCTCTACCACTTGCACCACCGTGCTGCCCTTGTCAAAGAGATGTCATGCTCTAATGGAGTACCTCATGAGCTGTAACTTTTAAACCTGATTCATAATCCTACCTTACTGCCTTCCCTGCTGCTTTAAACCCATGTGTTTTTCATTTTAGTATAGATTTTTACAATAAAGATGTATTAAAAATATCTTCACTTATTATTTGCAGATATGCACAAGGTTCATGTTAAAATTGCAAAACATCCCACTGTGCTGTAATCTTTGAAACTGCTTTTACAATAAGATACAGACTTGAAAACAGTTAGATTAAATTTTGTCTTTGAATTTTAAAGATTTGTCTTTCATTGAATTTAAAAACATAAATGTATTACTTTAGTCTGGTCCTCTGGACATTCAAAAAACAAAACAAACAAAAAACATTTATTGTTTATTTATTATAAACTGTATTGTTTGTTTTGTGAATGTCCAGAGGACCAGACTTAACTTTTTAGATTTTTCTACCTGAATTATTGAGCAGCATCAGGATATTAATTAATAAATAGTCAGTTGGTCTGAAAACACCATGGGGTCCTAGAAGAGTTGAAGAGGTGGCTGTTCATGTCTGTGCCTCCCTGGTGAAGATGCTGCTCCCACAACCCTGAAGCAGAAGATGATGGATGGATGGATGGTGAAGGAGGAGACCATCAAACACAGCAGGAGTGGTCAGTTCAGGTGAACTCCTGCCTGTTTGCTTCAGATCAGCTGTTCAAATCTCTGCAGGTTCAAATAAAAGGTGCACCAGGACTTTCAGCTGAATCTCTCGGGCCACAGTTGTACGGACGATAAACGATAACTGATAATTGATAACTGATAACTGTACTTTCTGAATTTTTTACTGTTTTTGTCTCACTTCATCCTAGAACCAAAAAATGTATAACATAATAACAGTTAAGCAGATTCTGGTAATCTTTTCTTAGGATTCATTAAAGATCAAATGCATTTGGAAATTTTTCCCAACTTCCAGTATGAATTTAAACAAACACTATATGCACTTAACATTGTAAAATATGTTTAGGAAATTTAATGTTCAAGGACACCACTTAAGAAAAAAATTGTTTAATAGTAAAAGTAAGAAGTGAAAAATGTACAAAAATAAAAATCACTGCCTCCAACTAATGATTGTGTATCTGTCTGTCCCTTGTCTCACGGGCTTCATCCAGAAGAAGACACAAGTGTTGTTCCTGCTGTGTCCGCTTCAGTTCTTCATGTTCATTCAGTGATGAAATAAGACTTTTCTTTACTGGACTCTTTTCTCTTTCTCTTCACTAGAAATAAGAAAAAGGTGGTTAATTCAAGCTACATACTGTTTTTGAATAAATGCATAAAACAAAGAAAGGTGCAGCTAACAGCTATAATAGATATATTAATAATAAGAAACTGATAAAATAAGAAAATGAAAAATGAATTGATTTAAACATAATGAAAATAATATAATAATAACAATGGATATATGAATCAGAAAGTATTATACAGATGCAGATATTCTTTATTGTCATTCGCACCACATGTTGAACATGTGGTGGAACAAAATTATGTTCACAGGGTCCCAGTTACATCCAACAATAAAATGTAAAAGAAAAACAGTAATAAGATCTAAGATATGAACTAAGAAAAACATCAACTAAAAATATGATAAGCTCTAATAGCATAAAAACATTAAACACAATACGTGAACAGCAGCACGGACATGAGTCTGTGTGAACAGACGAGCATGCATGAACACAGCAACATGAAACAGATCAGCAGCAACATGAAATAGATCAGCAGCAACATGAAACAGATCAGCAGCAACTTGATTATCCTGGTTAGATATTCATAAGGCTGCACAAACTCAAGTTCATGTTGCTGTTTGACGTATTGTTTTGATTGTTTACTGCTATTAGTGCTTAGTGTTTTATTAGTAGATGTTTTTTAGTTGATATTTTTCTTAATTCATATCTTAGATCTTATTACTGTTTTTATTTTACATTTTGTTGTCTGTAACTGGGACCCTGTGTACAAAGTACATAATTTCATCCCAATTCAGTATTTATTCAACATTTTTTTATTTTTTTTTACTTTAAAAATAAAATATTTGTGCCGATAAGGACTTGATTTAAAGTGATGTGGAACATGTTGCATCTGTTCTTACCGAGCACAGAAGCTGCAGCGTTGTGCTGCTCTGTGCGGTGCAGCTGGGCTGTGATGGAGCTCTGTCAGGTGTAGACTCCACTGATGGAGCAGGAGCAGCAGCCGGGAGGCTTGGAGGGTTTAATGTGGAGTTAAGAGACGAACCGTCATGCGCTGAAATACGTTCTGGATAAAATACAGTGAGAAACGGGACCGGAGGACAGTTAGTGTTTATGCAAATTAGCTTAGCATCGTAGCACCGACATTGTCCTATTATGGCGTCAGCCTCTTTTGTTAGTTAAAAATATGTTCAGAACCGATGGGATGAGTAACTTAAACCAACTAATTCATGGCTGAACAGTATAAACAGATTAACAACAACAAATGAACTGATTATTAATCAAATGAACTGATTGGTAACAATAGTCATGAACTGATTAGTGACAATAGAACCAAAATAACAGACACAACTTGTGACTGATAACAACATCTCACACTGTGAAGCATGCAGACAGATGTGAGCTTAAACAGAGTTCCATGAAAACAACAATATTCATTCTGTTAGAACACTAAGGACAGAATGTGTCATGGAACGAGCCGTCACATCACGTAGATAAAAGCGAATGAATGAGCAGGGTGTTGACCACGCGGCCGCAGTGCAAATGTCCTGCATTGTCATACCATTATGCAAGGCAGTCGAAGATGCGATACCCCTGGTCGAGTGTGCTTTGAGGTTGATAGGAGGCTCTAAATCTGATGCTCTGTAGGCTTCAGAAATGGCCTCACACGGCCAGTGTGACAAACGCTGGGTGGATAACGGGCGACCTGCAGATGCATCTCTATAATGCACAAACAGATGTTGAGTTTGACTCATTACAGCTGTGCGCGCTATGTAACACATCAACGCCCGCACCGGACAGAGAAGATGGAAAGATGCTTCTTCTTCTGATCTGTAGGGGGGAGGGAAAAACCCCTCCAACGATATCACTCTTGATTTAAAAGAGCTCGTGATGTTTTTAGGCATAAAAGCTGGGTTTGGTCTTAAATCAGCTGAACTACCGTCAGCCTGAATTCTGAGACATGACGGAGCGACAGAGAGGGCAGATAAATCACTCACCCTCTTAGCGGATGTTAAAGCCAGCAGCAGGGCTGTTTTAAGAGACAAGAATTTAAGTAGAACCTGATCCATAGGCTCAAATGGAGCTTTGATCAGGGCTCGCAGGACCAGCGTTAAATCCCACTGTGGCACAAGTGGGCGTGAAACAGGCCTGTG